TATTTGTACCACTGCCACCATGTGGGAAGGCCAAGATGGAGCTCCTGGCTCCTGGCTCATTGCAACCATTTGGGGAGTAAATTTACAGATAGGAGAACTTTCCGTGTGTGTGTGTATGTGTGTGTGTGTGTGTGTGTGTGTGTGTATTGCCCCTTCTCTGTCATTCTACTTTTCAAATAAATAAATTCCAGAGAGGACATTGAGGAATTGAGGATCTGTGAGGGGGTCCTGGAACCTACTTTGCCAAGAACCTGGGGACCACCCTTCCAGTGGCCCTCAGGGGTTAGTGGAGGGACAGAATGGGGCAACAAATGGACCGTTGGTTCACAGAACTTCCCGTGTGGCCTTTGCCAACAAACACAGCTTAGAACGCCTGGGAGGCCTTTGGTCCCTCCTCTCTTGTCATCTTCCAGCGAGGCCCAAGCTGTCCCCAGGCCCGAGCTGGCCCCAGACCCGAGCTGGCCCCAGGCCCGAGCTGACCCCAGGCCCAAGCTGGCCGCCCTCCACCAGACACCTCCGACCCACAGCCTGCTCTGGATCACCTGAAAGCTAATACTAGTTTCTTTTAAATTTTTTACATCTTTTTTATTTTTAATATTCTTCACACAGTTGAGAGGGATGCATATCCTTGTGGGTGAGGAGGGCCGAGGGATGGAGGAAGGCGGGTGGACAAATGTTTGGGTTTTTTTTTCTCCTGTGTCTGCCGGGGGGAAGGAATGGGGACCTCTCTTGCTATAAAACTACATCAAGTCCTGGAAACAGGGAGCAGTCACTTGATGAGACCCTGATCGGAGGCTGTTACGTGGGTGTTTTTGATAGTTCTGAGACATCATCAGCGTTTTCGTATCAGGTTTGAGAAACTCTTTCTAAGGTCTGTTGGCTGAAACAGTTCACCTCCGCGTGCATCCGCAGACCCAGACACCTGCTACAAAGCTTGGCCAACTTGTACTGTGCCAAGTGGTCCAACTTGCATTGCCTCCGTTCCTCTGAAGTCTACATGAATGGGCTGTCACGTCCCCCGTGTGCTTCTGGTCATGCTGCCCACTGCACAGGCATCAGCAACTGAGGAGGCCCAGTCCCAATACACGCCACACTCCAAGGTTGGCCACATACACTATGATTTTCCCTGTGGCTGGGATTCAAGTCCAGTAATCTAGTTGGGAGTCCCCCAAGAAACCTCCCCTCGGGTGACTTCAGACTTGACTCTTGTGTGTGACAGCTAGTGCGGGATCAGGTTTGGTCCACCACCTGCACCAGCCAATGCACACAGTGGTGGATACAGCTGCCTGGTCAGTTCTGCTCCCAGCCCCATCTCGCATGCATGATGGGTGCTACAGCCTAGCCAGGTGCAGCCTGCCACAGCCCCGGTCCTCATGCAGACCAGCAGGTGCCACAGCTTAGTAGGGGTAACCCCCAATAACCCTCACCAGGCCCATCCCCAGTTTTTGTGCATCCTGGCGTGTGCTGTGGGCTACCCCAGCCTGGTCAACACCCCAGCTCTTGTGCACACCCATGGATTCTGCAACTTAAGCCAAGCCTGCCCCTAGATCCAGCCCAACATATGCTGATAGGTGCTGCCTCCTTGTCCCATCTAGCCTGCTCCCATCCCAGGCGCTCATATTCATCAGCGCTCATATTCACTAGGTTGCAGGAGCTGCAACCTAGCCAGGGAGTTTCCCTGGTACTCACTGGCAGGTACTGCGCCTAGCCTGGCCAGCCCATACCCATTCCAACAACATCCCAGCCCAGCCCACCCCCAAACCCAGCTCTCATGTGAACCAGTGGGTGCCATAGTCTAGCACAGCCTGTCCCATACCTATGCTGACTGTCATAAGAACCAGTGGGTACTGGGGTCTAGCCTAGTCTGGCATGCCGCCAGACCCAGCCCACAAACATATTGATGGGTGCTGCAGCCTAGCCTAGCCCATAGTGGCCCACACCCTGTCCTGAGTCTTGTACATGCCAGGGGCTGCTGTGGCCTGGCCCAGCTCAGCATGCCTCCAGACCTGGACCACACATATGCTGATGGACTGACCCACCAGCCCTGGTTCTCATGCTCACCAGCAGGAGCTGCAGCCTAGTCATGGAATTTCCCTATCAGACCCACTACCAGATCCTGTGGCCATGTTTGGCACGGCTTGCTCTCAGCCCCAGCCTTTGCGTGTGCCAGCAGGTGTGGCAGCCTGGCACAGCCCAACCTCCTCCTCCCAGCCCCAGCTCCCACAAGTTCCACTGTTGAGCCTGGCTCGGCCATCACCAGCCCCAGCTCTTGTGCAAAACTAGTGGGTGCTGCAGCCCCCAAAAGGTAAGCTCACTAGTCCCTCCCAGATCCAGTTCTCTCACATTTTGCTCGGTGTTGTAGCCCAGCCTGACATGGCACATCCCCTGCCCTGATACTCATGGCAGGATACTGGGACCTAGCTCAGCCAGACATGGCCCCAGCCCCAGCTTCCACATGTCCTGAAGGGTAGCAGGTAATGCTACTTAGCCCAACCCAGGTCTCCCAAGTGGACGGGTGTCTTGGCCTGACCCAGACATGCTCTCCAGTTCCCCTACTATAAACCACCCCATCTCAGCTCCCTTGCCTACCTGCGAGTACAGTGGCCCCCAGATGTCACTCCTCACCTGTCAAACATGCCCCTGCAACATGTCCCCAAACCTCCTTCTCCAGGCATTCTGCAGCCCTGCCCCCACCCCCACAGCAGGGGCCAGGGTGGCGTGTCCCAGCCCAGCATTCCCTGCCTTCCACCGCATTGTGCCAGAGTGGCACAGAGTTCCCTGCACAGCTCTTAAAAGAGTAGTCTAAACAACTATGCTGGCACACTGGTATAGCTAACAGAGGTGGCACTAACCAGGCCCAGGATGCCCACAGCTATTGGCTGCTTTTCTCCCAGCAGGGTAACACTTGCCTACAGCTAGGGTAAAGCTAGTCTTCTCCCAAATACTCCCCAGTGACTGGCCCCAGGACCAAGCTGGGAGTGCCATGCACATGGCCCACATGCGTGGCAGGGGCTCAGCTACCTGAGCCATCTCCTCCCGGGGCCTTTACTGACTGGATAGCTGGAGCCAGGGATTGAAGTGACGTAGTCAGGCCTGAAATACAGGCAGCCTAACCCAGGCCTTAAGTGCTAGGCCACACTCCCACACCAACATTCTACGATTCAATGAAGATGTTTTATGCAATGTGAAAGTTATGTGAAATTCATGCTTCGGTGGCCATGGCTGAGACTTCCGGGGACACCCTCACACCCCCATAGGTCTTCTTAAGACTGCTCTCCATGGTGTGGAAGAACTTGAGTGGCTCTGCTGCCCTCAACACCCGTAGCCTTCTCAATCTGATACTCCATGGACAGTGTCCTCCAGTCCCTGGCCTGGACCACCCTGTCTGGTTCCCTGAGTATCCTATCCTCCACCCTACCACAGTCCCCCACCTGCACTTAACTGCAAAGCATTGCCCAGGAGTGCCCGGGCCTCTGGGGGCTCAATGAACAGAGGTGGCCATGGAGATGAGACGGGAGCTGGCACTAGAGTCCTGGAGCACCGTGAGAGGCGTGTCAGGGCAGGCAGTCCGGGAAGAGGGTGGTTTAGGGCCCTGCTTGATCACAGGGCACCCACCCAGCCTCCTTGCCCAGCCTGGGCTGTGCTTTGGTGCCCTCTGGTGGTCACTAGGAGCAGCTGTCTCTGAAGCACGTGTTGCCTTGGCTTCCAGAGGCCCCTGGAAGTCATCAAGCCCAGCTTCCCTGGGTCCCTCCCGGATTCCTCCCCCTAGCCCTCTCTGGGGTAGCCTGGTGTCACAGGATGTTGCCCTGCCAAGTTGCCGGAAGCCTCTCCTCTTGTCAGACCAGGCAGGCATGAGACTCATTAAGTACCCCAGGCAGGCAGTACCCCATGGCTAACAGGTATGCACAGATGGTGAGATGGTGGCCTTGGTCCCCATGGCCAGGGCCCACTGAGGGAGATGGCAGCTGTGTGAGCTGCATACTTAGGGGCCTCATCTCAGCAGACAAGCACCACTCAATGCAAAGAACTGCTCAAGCTTTTAACTTCAGGCCATGAACGAGTCTCTGACCAACTCCAAACCCCTCCTAACAGTGGTCATTGTGCCTGCACCATGAGCAACTGTACCAGGTCAGCCTCCAAGAGACCATGGGCTCTGGGCGGGCAGCAGCAGTTACAGCTGCCACAGTGACCAGGCCTTCTGTCTGGGTAGACAGATGGCAACAGATGAGGACGAGCAGATGTGGGCATGGATGGAAGGGTGGGCAGGTGCATAGATGGATGGAAGGGTGGGCAGATGGGTGGGTGCCTGGATGGATGGAAGGGTGGGGAGATGGGTGGGTGCATGGATGGATGAATGGGTGGGCAGATAGGTGGGTGTGTGGGTGGATGGAAGGGTGGGCAGATAGATGGGTGCGTGGGTGGATGGAAGGGTGGGCATGAGGATGAGTCATTGGGTGGGTGTGTGGCAAGTGGAAGAATCCGTGCCTGCAGTGGGACTGAATTTTCAGAACTCCGAATCCCCAGCCTGGCTCCTGCTTCCCCCCACCCCCCCGCATTCCCACGGCACCTCACCCACCATGTTCCCTTCCTTATGGCCCCTTCCCCACGCCCTCTGCCACCCACATCAACAGGACCTTTTCAGGAGCTGACACCCAACACTGGTCCCCCCAAGCAGGTGCCTGCTCCCAGCCCTTCTCCCAGGCTCCCCGCACAGCACCCATAGCTGCCAGCAAGGTCGACCCATCTGGCCCACCCCGCTCTCCTCCTGTCACCTGGGCACCCAGGGGGATGCCCAGTTCACACTGGGGGAACATTTCAGACCCTTCTCCGGAGGGCAGGAGCTGCGGTGCAGAATGCCGACGGGCCAGCCTGGGGGAGGAAGGCTCCTGCTTACTGTGTGCTCCCAGCAAGCTTGCTCCTTGCCAAGATCCAGCCTTCCTTGGCACAGGGTGGTGTGAGGTTGTGGGAAGGGGCACAAGAGAGTACACGAGACACCAGCCTGTGAGCTGCATTTATTGTGGCATCCACAAGCCACCGTGCCCAGTGCCCCCTCCCGTCTGCACCAGGAGCCTCGCTGCTGGCAGCAGGCCCCCACACCCAGCACCCCGCCTGGTGGGCGTCTGTCCCAGAGGAAACCACAGCGGTCCAAGACGCTGGACCCAAGTCTGTCCCTCCGGCACTGGGCTCGACCACGGTCCCTGCCACTCTATTGCTCTCCAAGGCAAGCTGCCAGCATCCGTGAGGTGGTGCAGCCGTTTCCCTCTTCACAAAGCAGCGTCTCCAGTGAACAGTGGGAAAGCCAGAACGAGGCAGGTCTCATCACGTATGCGTGTCCACCATCCGTCCATCAGCCCCACCTGGCCCTGAGGCCTCCACGGGAGCCCGGGCCCGTCCCATCACCCGCATCCCAGGGAGGGGAGGAGCAAGGTCACGCCACACCTGTCCCACTTGGCAAAGCTGCAGCTGGGGGCAGCAGCCATCCTTCCCCGGCCTGAGGCCTTGCTCCTCTAGGAAGTCTGCGAATTCCCTGAACTAGAAGCGGTAGCAGGGAGAGGGAGAGGCTCTAGTTGGGAGATGCAGCAGGAAGCAAGCAGCGGGGCGGCGGCGCTGCGCTGGCGCCCTCTGCTGGCCAGGAGGTAGCTCCGCAGGCCACAGGAATCGACTGAATATCATCTTCCTGGGGGTCAACCTATCCATAGCCCCAGTTCCCACCCCACCCCACAGCAGCCACGCCCTGGGCTTCCAGTCACCACTTTTGCAAAATCCTCTGAACTCCCACCCAGCCTTGGGCTGCTCTCGTGGCACCTACCTCACTACACCCCCCACACACAGACAGACCCTGGGGCCATGCCCACTGACTGGCCAGGTCCAGCCCCCCCTTTCTCTCGTGCTCCTGGCTTGGTGCACAGAGCTTTGTGGGGTCTGCAGGGCACAACCTACAGAGGCAAGGAGGCCGACTCCTGGCCTCTGGGGTCAGGCAGGGCACTTAGGTGAGCAGACAGTGCCAGGCAGGCAGGCCTCGCAGTGACCAGGGCAGTTGGTGTCCTGGGTACGTGGCCATGTGGAGGTTCTTTCAGAAGGGCTGGCTGGCAGGTGGAAGCCCCCAGGTCCCAGACAACTCGCCAGGGGCCTGTGGCTGACGGAAACTCGGAGGTGGAAGGCGTGAGCCGTTGCTGCTTACTGGAGCAGTTTGTAGCCATCGTCACCTTTGACCCTGAGAGGCAAGAGAGAGTTCTTGGAACCATTGCAGAGCCCGGAAGACTGAGGCTGAGGGGCGCTCCTGGCAGGCTCAAGGCTGCAGCTAGTGGGAAAGAGAGCTCTGAGGCTGGCTGAAGCAGTGGACTGGGCAATGGCAGACCCCAAAGCCCACCCACTGCAGCCATACAGAGAGAGTGTATCCCAGTGTGGGGCAGGGGACACAGGCAGGACCTCCCCAGCCCCTCCATGTCAGCTGCACCCTTCCTAATCCCCAAGCAAGCCATCACACAGCAGGAGGGACACACACAGCACACAGACTCACACAGACACACACACACTCACACACAGACTCACACAGACACATGCAGACACACACGCAGACTCACACACAGACACACAAGACCCACACAGCACACAGACCCACACAGCACACAGACACACGCAGACACACAGACACACACAGCACAGACACACGCAGCACACAGACACATGCAGACACACACGCAGACTCACACACAGACACACAAGACCCACACAGCACACAGACCCACACAGCACACAGACACACGCAGACACACAGACACACATAGCACAGACACACGCAGCACACAGACACACGCAGCACACACACAGACTCACACAGACCCACACAGCCCAGACACACACAGACCCACACAGACACACAGACCCACGCAGCACACAGACACACAGACCCACACAGCCCACAAACACACACAGACCCACACAGACACACAGACCCACACAGCACACAGACACACGCACACAGACTCACACAGACTCACAGCACACAGACACACGCAGACACACAGACTCACACAGACACAAAGACCCACACAGACACAGACTCACATAGCACAGACACGCACACAGCAGAGACACACAGACACATACACAGCACACACTCAGCACACACACAGCTCCGGGCTAGGCACAGCTCCGGGCTAGCCAGAGCCAGTGTGGTGTTCCCTGGGAACAGGCTCTGTGCACCCATGTATGCGACCACCCTGAGGGTCAGGCATAAGCAGCAATGCCTCCCACAGCCTGGCTCAGGAGGAGGCTCCTGGGGGCCCCTACCAGCGGCCCCGGGCAGGCCAGGCGAGTGCTCATGGCCCGTGGCGGCCTCACCAGTTGGCCTTCACGGCTTGGATGTCACTCACGAGGTTCTGGGCCAGGCAGATGCCAAATATCTGGAAGGCAAAGGGTGGGTCAGGGCGGGGTCAGTGGCACGGGTGGGCAGGCCAGGGGCGGGGCGGGCCAGGCGCAGTACCTGGAGGAGAGCGATGCCCACGAACACACCAGCCACGACGACCAGGTTGTCCTGCAGCCACTTCTCAAACTGGCCCACGCAGCCCTTGGTGTGGATGGAGCCCTGCTGCTCCAGCTCCTGGGGGTGCACACACCGGGCTTGAGGGGCCTGCGGCGTGGCAGCCCCACTCACATTCCCCTTGCAGCTCCACCACAGACACCCGCTCCTCCGAGAGGCCTCCCGGGGCTGCCAGCTCCTGGCCCATCCCCTTCCATTTCTTTCGAACACTCTGTGTGTTATCCCCCGGTTCACCAGCCTTTGCTTCTCGTTAGCACAGCATGCCCAGGGCCCAGCAGGCCGGGTGGCAGATGAGCCACAGAGCTTCAGCAAGCAGGCCCACCTAGGCCCATGCCCCAGGGACTGTGTGGGCAGGCGCCTGCGACAGGGCATCCCCTCCCTGCAAAATCCCCAATGCCTTTCGGAGGAGGCCCCTCTCCTATCCCAGGACTCCCTCCGCCCCTAGCCCCAGCGCTCTCACCAGCTTGAGCCGGACGTCGTAGCCACACTGGGTGTTGAGGACATCTTCCTGAGGGCAACAGGTTGGTCAGCCATGCAGCAGGCACGGATGCCAGCAACAGGCTCCTCCTGCCCACCAGGTGGTGCCACTGGCCACACCTTCCGCCCTGAAGCCAGTCGCCACTCCCCCACAACAATAATCCCTGCCTGCTCACATTCAATAAGGACTGGGAGTGGGGCGCCTTGGTGTCCCAGGGGGAGCTGTGGCTAGAGGGAGGGGTGTCTCTGTGTGGGAGCCCCCTGCCCATTCCAGCCGACCACAAGTTCATGCTGCTGGGAGCCAGGCTCAGCGTGGGGCATAGGTGTGGGGTGCTCTGTGAGCCATCCCTGCCTCTCCCTCCCTGCCCCCCAGCCTGCCCCCGGCCCCAGCCCCTCACCGCAGGGTCCCGGACGCAGCAGGAGAAGGGCACCCCACAGCGCTCCCGGCTCGGGTTCAAGTCAGTGCAGTTAAAGTAGATATTGAGGTTCCAGTCGTTGGGCCCTCGGGCTCCACAGCAGGACCACTGTGAGAGGGTGCAAGCACGCCAGGTGAGGCCAGCCCACCCCAAGGACCTCAGCCTGTGCGAACAAGCCCCGACCCAGGGGGACCTCAGAGCCCCAGAGCAGAGACGGTGAGCGCGGTATGGAAAGGGGCTCCTCAGCTGCCCCGGCCCCCCGCCCCCGCCCGGCGATGCTGGTGCGAACAGGACAAGCACACACAGTGTGTCACGCTCGCCAACAACCAGAAACGCCTCTGCCACTGCTTTCTGTTTCTGTCAAATTCCTTCCTCTGAAGTGTGCTGTGTCTCCTGGCCATTTGCAGCCTCTGGTTCCTGTGCCCGAGTCTCCGTGAGGCTAGCAACACAAGGCCCGGCGGTGTCACCAGGATGCCTTCTCCCCGCGCAAAGGCAAGTCAGAGTCCCTTCGGGGCCCTGCTGTCCTCTGGGACACCTGCTCCCCGGGCACGTGCCCACAGGTGCCCCCAGCAGGTGGCCGCGGGACTCACGTATTCCTGAGCAAAGTCGATGAGGTTCTGGAGGTCGATGTCGTCCCGGTAAGCCTTGACGTTGTTGTTGATGAAGAGGTTGAGCTGGTCGCGGATCCAGTCCTTGAAGACGAAGGCCAGGATCCCTGTCGCCAGCTCCAGGAAGAAGATGAGGCCGAGGAACACGGAGAACTGGGGGTGGGGCGTAGGGAGTGGGGCTCTGGGGGCTCTGCAAGAGCTCTGCCCCCACCTCCCCACCTTCAAGCATTTTAGCCCTACCCTAAGGCTAGAGGTGACAGCACCGTCCCTACCTCTCCACCCTCTACTTTAAATTTCCCTGCTTCCAACGGGGGCTTGGCTACCTCCCACCCCATCCAGATAAGGAGTGAGCAGGTGCCGCCAGCCCACCAATCCGAGCACTCCCTCCCCAGGGCCTGGAGAGACTGGCCTGGAGACAGCCAATCAAAGCCAAGGAGAGGCAGTTAGAACACTCTGGGACAGACACTAGGAAGAGGAAGCTAGGGTCCCCAGCAGGAGGAGGAGTTCCTGGGTGGGCAGGGTGAAGTTCCTGAACATTCCATCACCCACAGGAATGAAGCCAACCCAGTGACAGCACAGAAACAGAGAGGACCCAGGCCGAGTAACAGCAGTGGCCCTTGGATCCAACCATGCCTGTGGTCAGCAACCCCCCCCCCCCCGGCTTTGCTTATCGGAGCCAGTCGCTGCCCTCTTAAACTCAGACCAACCGACTGCTGGGTTCCAGTCACCAGTACCAGAAAGTATCCTAACAAGCACTGAAAACATGGCACTAATGAAAGCCACCTGTTCCCTTGCACCAACCACAAGGACCAGGCAGGATGAGGCTTGGGGCCCCAGCGGGTGAGAGGCATGGCGGGGTGGGGAATGGACACTCACAAACTTAAGCAGAAAGGTATTCTCCCGGAGGGCCCCGATACAGCCAGCAAAGCCCAGCACCGACATGACACCGCCCACCACCACGAACAGCCACACGGGGTCAAGGCCCCCCAGGTCCGTCAGCGCGGAGATGTTGGACAGCACGCCCTGCGGCCAGGGAGCAGGGGCAGGTGTAAGGACGGGGCTGCGGGGGGGAGGGGAAATTGGGGTGGAAGGCAGCTCCCCTCCTCCCCGCCCATCACCTTACCTTCTCACCCCAGGCCCAGAGACCAATGGCCAAGAACAGGGCGCCCAGCACCTGCAGGGGGAGTGACAGCAGCTCAGGGCTGGGAACCAGCAGGGCCAGCAGCCCCAGCGCTCAGCCCTCTAAGCCAGGGAGGGGAGGCGGTGGCGGGGGGGAGGACGGGGTTCCCTCCCACTTCCCAAAAGACATACCCCCTGAGACGTGTGCAGGACCAAAGTCACCCCAGGCCTGGTGAGAGACACCGTCCTGGGACCACAGACGAGAGCAGCAAGACAACGCAGCCAGCCACAGCCTGCACACCTGCTTCTCCTCTTTTCGAGGGCTGGCGTTGGGGTCCTGGGCCCCCAGCCCACAGCAGGAACTGCCACCTGCCAGCCTCAGCTGTTCCACAGCTCACAATGACCCCTGGTCAACTCAACAATGCAGTTTCCTGCCTAGCAGACACCCTGCCCTTGGAAACATCTGGCCTGGGTCTCCTGGACATCTGCTGTGGAGTTCTCTAGGAACCCTCCCCGCCCCACGCCACCCACTGCGTCACCCCGGCAACTGCCTTCCTGGGAAGAGCCCTGGACAGTCAAGATCAGCTGCCCTTTCTGGGGTATCCGGGTTGGACACCCAGTGTCCCCAGGAGAGGCTTGCGTCCTGCCCAAGCCCAGGGCAGGGCAGGTCCCCTCCTCAAGTCTGCCCACCCAGCTGCTTTAACCTTTGCTCCCATCCCTTGCTCCCGTCCCTCCCCTTCCTCGCCCATGCTGGGTCTGAGATGTGAACCCAAATCCCCCTTTTCTTACTTAGCCAGCCCATGACCTCGGCCGCCTCCCTCCTGAGCCCCTCTCTAGCTTAGCCTTACCCCTACCTTCCCAGCATGCCCCACCTTCTCCCACCCCAGCCCTACCAGGGTCACTCCCCATGAGGTCCAACCTCAGCCTCAAGGCTCCCTTCCATGCCATCAGCACACTGGCAGCTTCCGGTCTCCACCCAGGCTTTGCCCCTGCTCACGGTCCCTGCATGCACCTGACTGCTACCATGTAAACCTTGCTCCACTGTGGGAAATGGACCGTGAGCTAGCAAAGAAACATCAGTTACTCATGGATCCTGCAGAGAAAATCAAGCAGGAGGCAACGGGGACCAGCTTAGTTAGGGTTGTCTTGTTTCAGAGCAGCAGGCACTGTGGGCATAACAACTGAGCCAGTCACCTGGGATCCCTGCATCCCACATGGGAGCGCCTGGTTCAAATATCAGCTCACTGCACTGCCCGGTCAGCTTCCTGGAAGGCAGCAGTAGATGAGCCAAGGAGCTGGGCTCCTGCCACCAACGCCAGGCCCAGATGGAGTTCCTGGCTCCAGCCCCGGCTGTTGTGGGAATACAGAGGGTGAACTAGGGGGTGGAAGATATTTTTCTCTGTCACTCCTCCTTTCAATTAAATAAATCTTTAAAAAGAGAAAGAGAGACGGGACTGGAGCCATGATGCCTGGGCCTGTGGTGCTGGCACCCCATACGAGTGTTGGTTCGTGTCCTGGCTGATCTACTTCCCATCCAAGCAAGGTCTTTCCTTACTTGTGGCCTGGAAAAGCAGCTGAGGATGGCTCAGATCCTCAGGTCCCTGCGGTCATGTGAGAGACACAGAAGAAGCTCTTGGCTCCTGGCTTCAGGTCGGCTCAGCTCCAAACAATGTGGCCATTTGGGGAGTGAACCAGCAGATGGAAGATCTTTCTGTCTCTCCTCTTCTCTGTCACTCTGCCTTGGAATGCAGAGATCCACAGAGCAGAGGCCCTCAGGTCACCTCCACCCGGAATGGAAAGGAGGGCCAAACCCCAGTTGGTGCTGGAGGTCCTGGGGAGAACCTGGCCCTGGGGCCCTAGGGGCAGTGAGAGAGCACTAGGGCAGCAGGGCGAGGGGTCCCCCTCTCTGCCAAGGGATCCCCTGTGCGGGCCACACAGCAGGACCACCTTAGAAATTGGCTGCCCGAGACCCAGCGTCTCAGACACTACAGCCGTGGGGTCAGCACAGGGCAACGGTAGGGCCTACTTAACATGAACACACACACACACACACACCCCTGTGGGCCTGTGATACAGCAACTGCCTTGGGCCACCTTCACGCTAACCTGAAACCCTCCTGGGCCCTGTGTGGAGGCCTCAGCTTCAGGACCCGCCCTGGAGTATCCTCACTGCCCCAGCCCCACCCCATTCCTGCCCCTCACACCCACCCCTCCAGCAGCAAGGTCCACACCATTCCACTCCATGGTCCACCTCCACTCTCCCTCTGCAACAAGCCTGGGCCACTCATACCTGTTCCCCTCCCAGGGATCTGCCCCTACCCATCTGTGCAGACTCGTTCAGCTCTCGCCCTGGTGACAGGCAGTCAGCTCTATGGAACTGTCGGAGGCCGACCTCAGTGTCACTCCCTCCCAGGCAGGGCAGCTGCGACCCAGGACACTCCCAGGCAGGTCTGAGATGCCCAGGCTGCCTGACCCACACTCTCTGAGCGATACACACACACACACACACACACACAAGGGTGAGCGCCCAGAGCAGGCGGGTCCAGGATGGCCGGCTCCCTGAGCCCTGCTGGTCTGCCATTTCAACTCAAGTCATGGGCACCAGAGGGTACAGAGCCAGCAGCTTTGGAGACTGGGTGGGGGAGGGAGGACTTGGCAGGGCCTAAGGTACAGATGCCACCCCAGCGGCAGCCCCCTGTCTGGCAGTCAGCTGTGGCATGTCCACGCTGCCCGTCGCTGCCCACAAGCTTCCAAGCGCCCGGTGAGGGTGGGGGCAGGGCTCTGACCCACCCCCTCTTAGCACAGCCCTGCGCTGGACAAGCAAGGACACAGGGCAGGGCGCCCAGCCGGCCTTGCCTGCGCTCCTCAACTCCCCAGGGTCTCGGGGGACTGGGCGAGCGTGGGGCGTGCCCTGCACCGGGGTTCACCTGGGGTCTTCAAGGAAACATCTTGCCATTGTCCCCGACTCCTGAGGGAAGATTCCGTCCACCCCCAGCACGGCCAGAGCGGGGGTCGCCCCAGCAACCCAGGCCTCTCCACAGCCTCCGGGTGGAGGTGTGGGGGTGCAAGGGCGGAGTGGGGGCCAGTCCCGAGCCCCCAGCTCCTGCACAGGCACGGGGTCGGGGGGGTCTCCCAGCAGAGACAACCTGGTCCTGCACCCCACCCACCCCTCTCTCCAAGGCCGCACAAGGCCTGACGCGGACCCTGGGGCTCACCCAGAAGACAATGTTGAAGCCAAACAGGAAGTATTTCCCGCAGCAGCCGACCTCGGGGTCCTGGAAGTGCTGGTGCTTCCCGGGCATGGTGAGCGGGCGCCCGCCGGCCCGGGAAGCCGAGCCTGAGGCGGCGGGCTGGGGAGCCCTCCGCGGGCCGCCCGGGGCTGCAGCCGCCCGGGGCCTAGCCGGGGCCTAGCCGGGCGGCTGCGGCTTCATGGCCGCGGCCTCACAGAGCGCCGCTCGGGCCCCGCCCGACCCGCAGGGACCGCCCTCGGCGTCCGGAGCCCGGCGGACTCGGGCCCTCGGAGCCCCGCCCCCGCCGGAGCCCCGCCCCCGGGCCCGCCCCTCGAAGGAGCTCCGGCCCCGACCCCTGCACAAGCGGCCCCCCCGGAGCCCCGTCCCCCGCCGGAGCCCCGCCCCCGGGCCCGCCCCCACCCTGCTCCGGGCCCGCTCCCTGCGCAGACGTCCCCCTCGGAGCCCCGCCCCCGGCTCTGGCACCGCCCCCTGCCGGAGCTCCGGGCCCGCCCCCTGGAGCAGGAGGCCCTCTTGGAGCCCCGCCCCCGGCTCTGGCACCGCCCACTGTCGGAGCTCCGCCCCGCCCCCTCTGAACAGGCGGCTCCTGGCGAGCTCCCCGTGTCCTTGCGTCGCGGGTGGACACACCTGCTGCCCGCGCCGAGAGGAGGGACCCTAGGCGTTCAGAGCGACCGCCCCAACCCAGGCCTGCTGTCGGAGCCTGTACTTGCAGAAAAGCTGGTCTGTAACCCGGACTGAGTTCTTAACACGTACAGGACGCTGAAGTACAGTCAAGTCAAAACAGATGCAATTCAGTCCCATCCTGAGGGATTCAGGCTCAGGCCAAATGAGGACCAAGGCTAACCCTAACCCGTGAGCGTCATGTTTGCTGCTCCTACCCCAGTCTTTTTCAATCACTTCAGGTTGAAGTTCCCAGCCAGACCCCTCTCTGCTGTAACAATTCCGGCTCTACTGGAGAGCTCCTTACTTTTGGGGGTCAGTGAGGCTTTGCGAAGCCCAAATCTTACTCAGAATTTTAGAGCCCTGCTTTAAAAAAGTTCCAAATTCGAGGACTGGTATTGCAACAGGCATACCATATGGGTGCCTGTTCCAGCCATGGCTGCTCCACTGCTAATCCAGCTTTCTGCTTATGATCTGAGAAAGCAGCAGAGGATGGCTCAAGTCCTTGAGTCCCTGCACCCATGTGGGAGACCTGGAAGAAGCTCCTGGCTTCCTGCCTCTGGGAGGTGAAGAGGAGTGAACCAGCCAGTGGCAAATCTCTCCATGTGTAATTCTGCCTTTCAAATCAAAAAAATATTGTTTTAACTCCTATTTTGTTTAGGAGGAAACAGGCATAGATGAGTGCCCCTAAGTGATGCTGGGGCAGCCTGGGCTCCCATCCTGTACCCTCCAGGCGACAGGATGGGCCTTCTCCAGCCTCCACTCTCCTGTTTGTCCCTCCAAGCAGGTGAGGGTGGTCTCCAACCCCCCAGGTCAGGGGGCAGAGAGGGCAGCCTATGCAGGGGACCCCCACTGATAACTGCAGGTGGGCCTGAAGTTACAGCCGTGACCAGGGACAACCACTCCACGTGTTCAACCCAAAGGGGCCACAAAAAGAAGCACCCCCTACTCCTGCTTATGAACACTGCATCTCAGGGTTAACAGGAGCCTTGAGCTGCCTCCCCAAATACACCCAGTTTAAGTCCTGGGCCAAGGGAATCACTCCACCCCCAGGGGCCCTCCTCCTCCCGCTACAACCACACACCCCAGCTCCACCGAAAACTCAGCAAGGCCCAACACCCATGCTCATCCCACATGTAACTGTTTATATTCACTCCAGGAAAGAGAAGGCCCACACCACCTGCCCCACCCCATCCTGCCAGGCTGACACAAGCTTGGGTGGAGGTGCTGCTCCAGCTGGGTGACAGTCGGGGAGCAGCAGTGCCCAGATGCTGTCACACCACAAACTTGTTCTTGGCCAGCGAGTTGCTCTTGGTGGCCGTGTCAGCATGCGCCTGGTAGCCGATGATGGTCTTAGCGGAGAGCCCCAGGCGTTCCTTGTACACCCGCCTGTGTGCAGGTGCAAAGAGAAGACAGCTGTGTCATGTGGTCAGCCTTGGGCGCAGACAGCCTCCGACCTGCCCTCCCTGGTTGTGGCTCCAACCCCAGCTCCTCCTGCCAAGCTCCTTGAAGTCCATGAGCAGCCAATCCCCCTTCCCACCCGCCCCCCGGAGCCAGTGAGACCGGAGGAGTGGGCTGCCCCTGCTGGCCAAGCCAAACCACCCACTGTCTTGCACCCTGCGCTTACCCGATGTGCAGCACGCCTGCCTGGTTCTCAGCCTCCCGGGTCCACACAGCAATCTTGTCCCCTTTGGTGCGGATGTTAAGCACGGCTCCACACACCTCCCGGCTGTGCTCTTCAAAGCTCTCCCCGATCAGACACAGCAGCTGGTGTGGGGAAAGGTGAGCCCAAGTCCCCTGGGGACTGCCCCCTCCAAGCCAGACCCCACCACCCTACCACCCCCAACTCCAGGGCCCTCCTGGGTCCTTCCCACCATTCACCGTCTCCAGCCACAGTCTGTCCAGCTCGCTGTGGCGCTGTTGCTTGGCCAGGCTCATCAGCCAGCGGCCACCCCGCTTGTTCCGGCTGTCTTCCCACATGGGCTCGATGCCATCCTGCCAGGTCAAGGGGTACACTTGAAACCTCTCAACCTGGCACTCACCCAGTCTCCCACAGTTCCCAGATCCTCCCTGATGGTGGAAGCAGTGGGGTAGGGTGTGGGTGTATATTCCCTGAGACAGAAGCACACAGGAGGAAACTTCTGGGCTGACCCACTTCCCTGGACAATCTTGGACCCCTGAGTGAGGACAGTGCCCCCTGGACAGGTCTGGGCACCGATGCCCTTAGGTAATTTCGATGCTTTGTCATGTGAAGGAGCCCCTGACAGTGGCCTCCCCTTTTCTGCTTGGCCCCGCCCTCTGCAAGGGGTTTCCTCCGATGCAAAATCACATCCCTGCTCTGGGTCCCGCCCCAGCCCCACCCCCAGGCCTGGAGGCGGAGAGGAGAGGACAGAGCACTGGAGCCCCCAGCTGCCCTCCCCTGGGGGCGGGGCTCCACTCACCTTGAACAGTGCATAGTCACAGCCACTGGAGAGCTTGCTGGCTAGCTGGATGTGATTGTACATCCTAGGAGAGACCCCCCCCCCCCCAGATTCAAAGTCAAGGTGCTGCAGACCTGGCTCCAGCCAGCCTCAGCCCTGCCAGGTCCTTACCAGTGCCCCGCAACCTGGAGATCCACCCCCTACCTATTCAAACCGACCCCCTATCCAACCAAATGCACCTCCAGCCGGGACCCTGTCTGGTCCTGAGGTCACCATGCACACTGACCAGCCTAACACTCTCTCTGGTTCCAGGGGGCAGGGCAGAGGGCACAAGCCCTTTTCCAACACAAAGCTAAAGTGACAGCGTCAAGGCTGTCTCCGTTTTCCTCCCCCACTGCGTGACCAGTAGGCTTGCAGGTGGCACAGGGGTGGGAGTAGTCCCAGTGCCCCTGCCGAGGACCCACCAAGCCTGGCCCTCAGTCACAGCTCAGTGGCCTCGGGGAGGGCTGGCCAGCTAGCCGCCCGCCCTCCCCCCCACCCCTGCACCTCCCACACAGAGGGGCAAGTCTCCTGGCTCTGGCACCCAGAGCACACACTCACGCCCAGAAGTCCTCCACAGTGTCCACCTTGGTGACCAGTTGCAGGTTGTCATGCCAGGCCCGGCTGCGGTCATTCTTGAAGAACCACAGAGCCCACCTGGTGGGGGCCAGGAGTGGGGGAGGTAGCCCAGAGAGCACAGAATGCCCCCACCCACCCAGGTCTGTCTCTAGCAGCACCTGAGGGAAGGGAAGGGGTGGGCCTCTCTGCTCATTAAGGACAAAGATGGGATCTGTGGCAGAGGCAGCCCCTGCACGCGCAACACGTGATTACAATCAGTTGTCCTCAAGGACCCGGCAACAAGCAGGAATGGGCAGGGTTAAGGTCTTGGGTGGGGAGGGAGGCAGCCTTCCTCTGGCCTCTCATGGACCAAGGCTGGCAAGCACAGAGGCTGGTCTGACAGAGAGCTCTACGCTCAGCCCCCGTAGCACCCCTTACCTGTTCTGCAGGGGGTGCAACTTGAGATGCGCTGTCCTGGGGTCCTCATCCCAGACCTTCCTCCTCAGAGCTCCCGGAGTCCTGGGCGAGTCCAGCTTCTGATCTCCGGCAGACGCCCCCAGCACCGCCTCCTCTTCCTCCTCTTGCACCTGTCTCTCTGCTTCATGAACCTGGCCAGAGAGAAGAGTCGTGATGGGCTGGGAGCTCTGTGCCCGGCTGCCTCTGGTCTCTTGGTCGAACAGGAGTTTGGCAGGTGGACCTACAGAACCCGTTGTAGCCATGCTGCGGCTGAAGCTCCCTCCACTGAGACCCAGCACCTCAGAGCCCCCAGCTGCAAGCTTTTAACCTACCGGTGCCCCGCCCCACCTGTCGCAGGCAGAGAAGGGGGAGGGTGCTCAGCGGTGGCGAGGTTTAGTGGCTTCTTTCCCTTAACAAGCACTTAATGAGCACCTTCTGGATGCAAACCCAGAACTGGAGCCAAAGCTGGGACCAAGCCGACCCAGGCCGGAGCGGCCCAAGACAAGGAGGTAAGGGTCGATCTTTGGGGTCTGCCCTCATTGAAAGTGGGGTCTGCCCGAAGTGGTTCCCCAGAGTCTGGCTCCTTCACAGTCCCAGCTTGGCTGCAGAGGGCTGCCTGAGGCAAGCGCTTGTGTCGCTGTGTAAAGCTTCTTACCATCTTTACAGTTTTGCTTTCTGTTTATTTAAAAGGCAGAGCAGTAGAGAGGTGGAGATCTTTCATTAACTGGTTCCCTGGCATCTCAGCCTTATTATTCTTTTTTTGTTAGGATTTATTTTTTTATTTGGAAGGAAGTGCTGCAGAGAGAAAAGAACAGAGTCTTCCATCCACTGGTTCACTCTCCAGGTGACCATAATGGCCAGAAGTGGGCCAGTCCAAAGCTGGAAGCCAGGAGCTTCTCTCAAGGTTCCACGCAGGGGTGCAGAGGCCCCTGCTCTTTCTGCTGCTGTCCCAGGCACAGGCAGGGAGCTGGATGGGAAGTGGAGCTGCTGGGACACCAACTGCACCCATATGGGATGTTCACACTACAGGCCAACTTACCTTGTATGCCACACTGCTGGCCCTACATCTGAGTTTTTGTTTTTGTTTTTTGAAGATTTATTTCTTTTTATTGGAAAGACAGATCAGATTTACAGAGAGAAAGAGAGACAGAAAGATCTTCCATCCTCTGGTTCACTCCCCAAATGGCTACAATAGCCAGAGCTGAGCCGATAAGAAGACAGGAGCCACAGCTTCTTCCCAGTCTTCCACATGAGTGCAGGGTCCCAAGGCTTTGGGCCATCCTCGACTGCTTTCCCAGACCATAAGCAGGGAGCTGGAAGGGAAGTAGAGCAGCTGGGAGTGAACCAACTGCCATATAGGATGCCGGTGGACGCAAGGCAATTGAGCCATTGAGCCATTGTCCAGGCCCAGCATTTGAGCTTTAACAATGTAATTACTTGCTAGCATTTAGGAACAGGGAAATTTCACAAGTTTGCTTTCTCCTGCGAATTTGGGAAGATGTGGGCTTTCTACCCTACAGATGGGTGTAAGATTACACCCAGCCCCAAGGAACCCCTTCTGAGCATTCTCCACGCAGTACACCGGCAAGGAATGACCATAGACACACAGTCTGGGTCAAGTCCTGCCCTATCCTGCCCCTGGAACTAATGGTCCAGCTCCCTGCTAATGCACCTGTGAGAGCAGCAGAAGATGGCCCAACCCCAGGCACTGACGTCATTTGGAGAACGCACCAGTGGATGAAAGATCTCTCCCTCTCTCTCTCTTTCTCTCCCTCCTCACTCCTTCCCTCCCTCTCTTTCCCTCCTTCTCTCTCCCTCCTTCTCTCTCCCTCCCTCCCCCTCTCTCCTTTTCTCTCCCTTTCTCTCTCTCTCTCTCGCCTTTCATGCTCTCTCTTTCAAATAAAAAACTTTAAAAAATCAAAATCAGGGGCCAGTTTTATGACCCTATGGCACTTCCATCCCACACAGATGCCAGTTCTTTTCCCAGCTGTTCCATTTCCAATCCAGCTCCTTTGCTTATGGCCTGAGGAAACAGCAGAAATTGGGTCAAATACTTGGGGTCCTACACTCATATGGGAGATCTGGAAGAGCTCCTGGCTTCATATAGGATCAGCTCTGGCCCTTGCAGGCATTTAGGGAATGAACCAGTGGATGGACAATCAGTGTGTGTGTGTGTATCTGTCTGTCTGTCCTTCACTCTGTAATTCTGCCTTACAAATCAAAAATAATTCTTAAAAATGAATAAATAAAAACGCCTCTGCAGGAAAGGTCCTCTGGGATAGGAGATGATGGCCAAGCCTGCGACCCACCCCGTGCTGGAGTCAGAATCACGCAGGGCTCGTTGGGTTCACACAGCCGCACCTGTCCGGGTAGGTCTGTGCTCAGGCCTGCACTTCTTACACTCTTGCATTTCAGCAATAGTGTTCAGGAACCCCAATTTGGGGACTCATTGGCCTACAGGCAATTCTCTAAAGAGGCAATCGGGTGGTAAGGAGGGTGTCTCAAGGGGAAATGGTACACGCAGAGGCCCTGGGGCAAGAGGAACATAGAGCAGAAAGGGGTGGGTGAGTGCTGAGCCTCTTATGGCTTCTCTGCCTTTTGGTTAAGATCAAGTGGAGTGCTGAACCTAAGAGAGCCCACTGAGTGCCAGCAGCAAACGTAGAGGAGCTGGGGAGGTGCCCAGATGTGCCCGCTCCCTAGCTAATCTGGACAGAAGCCAGGCTGAGTGGAGGTGAAGAACCTAGATGTTTTCTGCCTTTTGTAATTCCTGCCTTAATGGCTTGGCTGGGGGCTGTGTGAACTCCAGGCCTGACAGTCTACGTGACATCTGTGACACCCGGCAGGACACCTGGCAGGTCACGTAGGCAGACCACTCCTCAGGAAGGAGGTACCTGGTGTTTGATAAGATCCACCGCCCTATAGCACATCGGTTTGTACCTTTTGAAAGTTGCTTGTTTCAAATCTACCAATAGAAGCCTGCTAAATCATGACTGTATAATTAATAACCTGAAATGTATAAGAACTGGGGGGCTCTGGCTCTCGCTTGCTGTGGCTACGGATCCTGCAGCAGTCCCCATGCTGGGCTGGAGGAGGTGGCTGGGAGACCTAGGTTAACCTGAATAAACCACCTTTATGCCTTAGCACCGACTTCAGACTTGATGATTATCTGAGGATTTCAAAATCCGGCACAACAGAAGACATCGGGGAGGATGAGCCTACAGCTGTCTAGGTACAGGTCAGATGGCAGGATAGGTGGGAGGCAGGTGACAGGGCCTAGAGGTATTCCCGGAGAAAACTCGGTGACATCTGGTGCCTCGGAGAGAGGCCAGGGCCCTGGCTCTGCAGCATGGACCACCTCACACTGCACAGCTCGAGACTACCATGACCACTTGCTATCTACAGTTCCAATAGCACTGGGGAGGGCACCTCAGACCTGGCCCAGAAGAACCTCTGCTGAGATGGCTCCCAGCTTGGGGCCAGGGGTGTCCATCGTCTGCATACTGGCACTGCCCTGCCCTACGGGGAGAGTGGCAGCTGGCTGGGCTGTTTGGCTGCTTCCCAGCACCATGGCTGGGTCCCCAAGGCCAAGTGGAGGCCACTGGGTTTCAAAGGCCTGGGACTGAAGGCAGGTTCTGCCACAAGCCCACTGCGCTCCGTGGGTGCTCCAGGGCCCTGATCCACATAGGGACATGGTGGCTTTTCCTCCATGGGAGCAGTGTGCAAGAACCACAGCCTCTAGAACAGGCCCAGGCTGGGGCAGAGACCAGGACTCTTGATTTGCTGCAGAGAAAAAGGGAGGCCAGAAACACAGATTCCCCAGGGGTCTGAGGCCCGATCCTCGTCCTTGTCTCCAGCCTGGAGCAGCACCCCTGTGCCAGGGGTCTGGGAGTGGGCTCACTGCATGCAAACCCCCAGGGCATACTGCTAAAGTCCTGGCCCCTGCCTGTGACCCTCTCAAACCAGAGCCCTCTTGTTCCTTTCCCTCCCTGCTGGCCAGGTCACCGCAGACAAGCCTGCCTGTCATCCCTCACCTGGGCCCTTGCTTCCACTCTTGTCTGCTATAGAGTATTGTCCCCATGAATCACCTGGACTATTATTCTGACCCCTTAACTCCTCTGTTTAAACTCTTAGGAACCCACAACTGCAGGCCACTGCCTTGTACCGAGGCAAGCATTACACTGCTGGGAGAAAAAGCAGCCAATGGCTGGATGACATTCAAGGTCTGGTTAATGCCAACTCTGTGTGAGCTAAACCCGTGTGCTAGCATAGTTGCTTGTTCTATTTTTTAAAGATATGGGGGTAGTGTGCCCGCTGTGCCACCGTGGGCACACACCAGCTGGGGCCACCCACCACCATGGCCAACACCACATGCGCGTGGGAGGGGTGTACATTGCCGGAGTCCAAGGGACTAGGGATGGGTCAGAATGGAGGCCCCTGAGGGCTTATCTGACATGTGTAGAATGATTTCTTGGGGCTTCCATGAACCCGGCCACAGCACCCACAGATAATTGAGGAAGCTGAGACAGGGTGGATCAGAAGGGTGAATCCACAGGATCTCCCCAGATCAGGCTAGAGCATCTGCCCTTCACCACAAGAACCAGGGCTGAGGTGAACTGGACCACCAGCACTTGCAGGAGCCATGTTTGGGGGCAGCGTTTCTTTTGACTAGGCACTCAGAAAGCCCAGGCTAGGGGTGGACTGGGCTAGCTTGCATCACCCACTGGTTCATGTGAGAGCCAGGGCTGGGGGCAGGACTGTTCAAATAGCTAGTATATGTATTGGCTGGTGCAGAGGGCAGAATGAGCCTGACCCTGCACCAGCTGGCATATACAAGAGCAAGGTCAAAGGACCTCCCAACAAGATTGCTGCCCTTGACCTCAGGGAAAATCACGTAGACATGTGGCCCAAGCCCAGAGCACATGTTGCAGGCCCACCTAGGCTACCTCCGTTGTTTACTCTCAAGCAAGAGTGGAAAGCACACCCAAATGAACACAAACGGCAATACAGCAAGCTCATCAAAGCCAACAGAAAACACTGAGTACCTCATCAAAAGATGGAAAGGACATTGCTGGAGTCTGAACAATACCCCAAGTCTGGCTCTGTAACAAACATCTAGGTCCGTGGACACACTGGGGTAGACAAGGACAGCCAATAGGCCTTAGAAAGAAGCTCTCACTTCTGGTGTAACGAAACTGACAACTTTTCAAAAGCAGTCAGGACCACACAAGTGACAGCCTGTAAGCATTCTTCCCACATCACCACC